ACACCGGGCGATCTGATTGCCTCCACTGCTTAAATACAACGATAATCCTCTCGCTCCTCTTCTCCTCTCTCCTCCTTCCTTCTCTCCTCTCTCTCTCTCTGCTCCTCTCTGGTCCTCCTCTCTGTCCTCTCTCTTGTCTCCTCTCTCCCTCTGCCTTCAATTGTTGAATACTTTAGATTTTATAAAATAATTACAAGACGACTCAACCACACGACGGCCTCACGACACGCCACAGAATCCCAAGAGACGAGCGATTGGGGGGGGGGCGGGTGAAGGACATGAAAGACGGAAGGGAGCCTGCAGAGAAGGCAGGAGATAATGAAAGAGCGCAGAATGAAGGAATGGGCGTCCTTCGTCGCCTTCTTCCGTGTGTGCGAAGGGTGAGAGCAAGTGGACGATGACGAGAACACATCAACTCTGAGGACCAAACGTTCACTGTCTGCCTGATTTGGTGAAACTGGATCAGATTTTATGGAGTAAATATTTTCTTGGTTTTCCATCTGACGTCCTCCGTCTGCTCAGCTTCAACTCTCTGTGATTTACAGAGTTTCCTGATAGACAGATAGCTTAAGCTAAAGTAGCTAACCACTCATCAACTTCTGCTAACTGTATCTGCCGTCAGCAGGCGACAGAACCGGGCTCAGCAGCCGGACCGGGATCAAACACAGCCTCCGAGACCGACAGGGAATAACATTACAGTACCGAGGTAAAAAACACAAACAATTCCGTTTTTCTTGACTGAGCTGTAGAAAATTCCCTCCCATCCATTGCTTAAAATCTAAAAAAACACAGTTAAAAAGGGCATCTATTGGCCCCGAGTGATCAGCAGACGCAGCTATGTAAAGCTGAGTGTCATCAGCATAGCGATGGAGACTGATTACCTTTCCAAATGTCAGTGTGTAAAGGTTAAATAGGATGGAACCCAAAATTGAACCCTGGGGAACAACACAATTCATTTTATAGCTTTTATTTAACGTTCATCAATGCTGACAAAAAAAATCTCTTTTACTGTTTTTAATCTGTATAAATCTTAACGACAGAGAGGCCAACCAGAGTGGGAAGTCACTAAACAATGGAGTGATCTACTGTATCATAGCTCATTTAGGTCAAGAAAGGAGGAGGAAGATGAGGAGGATTTTGAGAGATGTCTCCTCCTTCACTTTAAAGTTCATTCTCAGTGGTCTGATGGATCAGTTATTTCCTGTTTTACTTTGAAAGAGTCCTTCCTGTCTGTGGATAATGCTCTGATTAGTTTCATTGCTGTCGGTTCATCCTGCTGCAACTTGCTTTGTTTCTGAGTTTTCTTTTGGTTTCGCTCTGTCCCCACACCTGAACCTGTCTGTCTGCCTGTTACCTGTCTACCTGCCAGAAAGATATTTTCATCCAGTGAACCACTGAAATCTTCCTGCTGCTTGTTTATCTGCATTACTCAAACCCCAAAGATCCAGCTTAATATCACAGAAAACAAAATTATTTAATGGATCTGTGCTGCAATAACAGTTGAGTAAGCCTCATTCAGCGTTCTGCTTTTACCTGTCCTGTATGTCGATGGTGCCAACCATGTACATTTTGGTGATGGAAAAACTGGCATGACCACGAGTCACCCCTTTACGCTTTTTTTACATGTGGTATCTTCGACACACACTTTACAGGACTGTAAATAACAGGTTGAAGTTAATCAGCAAAGTTGTGCATTTTTAAACTGATCATAAAATGTAAAGTGGTTGCTGGATCAAGGCCTCAAACCTGTTTTTTTTGGACATTCACAACACTCTGACACACCTTCGAAACATTTGTTGCCTTTAGTCTGTTTGTGTAGATTGATAGAGATAGCTCCAGTTGCGTGACTACTAGCTGTAAAGGTCAAGTCTATCTCATTGTTGGATCTTTGTTCTTGTGAAGGAGGCTATAAATAATTGCAACTTCAAGGTCCTGATGATCAACTCAATCATTCAAATTTTTGAAACTTGAATGATCGAAGCGTTGGATAGTATCAGCCATGTCGAAGGCAAAGAAAATTTCTTATGTAGCGATCTTTGTGATTGCTTGTTTGATTTTTTTTTTTGAAATTATGTATTGTATTGGCTATTATCGAAAAGGTGCCGTGGCTGCAGACACTTGGGATTGTTCACAGGTTGGAGTGTGAGTGCCATTTTACACTTTTGTTATGGTTATAAAAGTAATGTACATGGCAGCAAATTTGATTTGAATTGACACACGCTGTCTATTTTCTGTAAATGTTAGTACTTTTATCTTGGAGATCTGCTTAAACTGCATGAACAAAATGTAACTAAAAACTTAAACTTACAGAACTATTCTTATAACTGGGGTTGTCCCAAAGTTTAGCCTCTGATTTGAGTTATTTAATATTGAGTATCTGTCGATACAAAGTCCTGCCAATACTTTGTGCACTTTATGTACATAAAGTACATAAATGTTATGAAAATCAATCCAGTGTGCAGTCTTCAGAATAAAATAGCTCTGCATTGCATTAAGAAACAAAATGTATTAAACCTGTTCCTGGATGGTTTTTTAAATAGTTTTTACATGAAGTATAAAATAACAAACCTTCTGTAATCTTTATTGTCTTGTTGCTGTTTGGAGAGAGTTTCTGTCTCTAGTGTTTGGTGCTTCGGTGTAGCATTTACCTGAGTTACCTGAACGAACTGTATTTATCATTGAGATTGTTTCAGGACATCCCTACTTATAACTATAGTAAGATCTTGGTAATGAAGTTACCCCTTAAATGACTAAACAAATATGCATCATTTAGCATTTCAAATGAAATTAAATGTGTGACTGATTGTTGTGAAATGTTGCAGAAACATCCTCAGAAATGGAGGCTCAGCGGTAGATGCTGCCATCGCTGCGCTGATTTGCACCTCTTTCTTTAACCCACAGAGTATGGGCATCGGAGGGGGGTCCATATTCACAGTGATGGACAGCTCTGGTAACAGCCACATAGGTTTAATACAGTAGAGCTAACCTTCTGTGGAGACAAAGTTAAATAATAATATCTCCTCTTGTCAAAGGCAAAGTCACAATCATCAACTCCAGAGAGACTGTACCCAGGAATGTGACATCTGACCTGCTGGAGTTGTGTTCCAATAATACCTCAAAGACGTCAAGTACTGCATCAGTTCATCATCGTTATCTTTTCCTCATTCTTGGAGCCTTTCTTGTTGTTCTTGTTCTGTTTGTTGTGTTAGCTATTAGGTTGCTGTGTTAGCTATTAGGTTGCTGTGTTAGCTATTAGGTTGCTGTGTTACTGAGCTCCTACTGGAGCAGGAAGTAGGGGCAAACCTAAAAACCTAGATTCAGTACAGTTCACATGTGGAGAACTTTATTTACATAACAGTTAAAAGATTTATGTCATCCTGAAGATACTTTGTTGATATTTGTCCCACTTGCTTCCCATGCAAAAGAGTCTGGTTGTATACACACCAGGATAAGAACTGGCCTAAACTGAAGTAAGATGTATGAGTAAGAGGTATAGATCTTGTGACACACTTATTCAGGAAAGTAAGATCTGAGATAATGAGAACATTGTGAGGCAGGAAACCCTCTCTTTAGTGCACAGCATCAGTCTAATAAAAACAGAGTAAAGCTTAAAACGATACTGTTGTAATAATAGATAAAGATATTGGTATTGAAGAGAGTCCACAAATACAATAGCAGCATACTTTGAAGCTTGCTGGAAACACACTGGATACTAGCAGGCCAGAGTGAGGACTGGTGAATAACAGTTAACTGTAAAGTCCATTCTCAGTGTCTGCACTGGTTATCAGTGTTTAAGTTGTATACTGGACCAGGATGGACTTCCAAACTGTCAGAAATTAATGCTGGTAGGCCCCACCCTCTTAAAATCAGATGTTCAATGAGCTCAGAGCTACTTTCCACTTTTAGCAGATGAATGTGAAAACATCTTTCTAGTGTCAAACTCTGCACATCACACTGAACAAACACTGAGTTCTGATTGTAGGGACTTGTACAGACATTTAGTAAATGTATATACTTACTTTGACCTACCTTGCTATCTATCCATGCAGCTGGTAAATGGATTGGGGTCCCAGGTGAACTAAGGGGCTATAAAGAGGCACACAGGCGTTTTGGGAAGTTGCCATGGGCTGAACTCTTCAAGGAGACCCTTGAATTGGTCAAACATGGAATTCGTATCAATGAAGTCCACGGTGGATTTATCAAGGTCATTAATGAAAGTGCGGGCCCAGCACTACGGTATTAAAGACACCCACTTTTTTCACAGCAGCCATTTTGACATAATAGGGTAAAAGCAGGTATTACCAATGATACTAATTAAGATTCTGTGCTATTCAGAGTCAGGGTGCTTGTGCATGTTCACTGGAGAAGCTCTGCTGCACTAAATGGAGCGCAGCCTTAAGTCTTTACCCTACTATTTTGTGTCAAAATGGCTGCTGTGAAAAATATCTGACACAATGATGATGAGCAACATTTCAGTTTTCTACATTAAAGTGATTTTTTTTTCTATGTGTCCTGTAGAAAGTTGTATTCACACGAGAACGGGACGTTCCTGAAGACCGATGACACTGTGAAGTTTGAGAAACTGATGGAGACTTTGAAGATTATTGCAGATGAAGGAGCAGACGCTTTTTACAATGACGAAATGGCAAAGAATTTAGTCAGTGACATAAATGAGGCAGGTAAGGTCTTTCCCAACCATTCTACTCTTCAATTCTATCTCTGCCTGCCACAATTATCTGATTACAAATTAACAAATCAATTGGGTCTGTAAAGCCATGATCACTCACAGACTCAATGTTTTTGCTCAGGAGGAAATATAACGATGGATGACTTGAAAGAGTATAAAGTTTCCGTGACTGATGCGTGGGTTGTTCCTTTGGGAGAGTACCAGATGTACATACCTCCACCCCCTGCAGGAGGCGTCATTCTCAGCTTTCTCCTTAACGTCCTGAAAGGTTCCTGGTGCACAGACACTGCAGAGCGGCTACTCATCCACTTTCAAATCATAATTTTCAAAACATAATGAAGCTTGTTGGCTGTGTTCATGTTAAAACAGAGCCATGCCAAATAAATACTTTAATTAGTTGTTGCATATTAGTTGTTTACCCTAACAATGCAACTGAATTATTGCGTGGTGATGGAAACATCTAGATATTGCTCATCGTTGAACTGAGTTGTTTTTATTTACAGGCTTTCACTTCAATTCAAACTCTCTGGAAGGTGAAAGTAAGACACTGACCTATCATCGCTATATTGAAACTTTAAAGTTTGCCAATGGATTAAAGAAAGACATCCGTGATCCAAAGTTCATGTCAACAGAAGTAAGTTTCACAAAATTATGCAGTAAAAAATTTGCATATTTTCCTCTTCATCATTTATTTTTAAGTAGTTAAAGGTCTTCTCCAGGTATGAGGACATTTATACATATCTACTTGGAACAACAACATGTATATGTAAAGAGGGCCGTGGATTAAGGGGTGGATAAATTTATAAAAAACACGGGGGCCGACAACGCCACCTAGGTTTTTAGTGAGGCCTAGGACCTCTTAAAAC